GCAGGTCTTCATGAGTTCCCTTGCTGGGAATTTTACTCCAACACCAAATTACATGGAACTCTATTATTAGGTTTGGCTGCACATTGTGTGTGTGAATCCGTGAGCGCATCACAAATGACACTTCTGTTCTCTTTCTTACTCTATTACAGTACTTATACTCGCTCGGCTCAGCGGGCTGTGCGGCTGACATAGTAGATTTTAGTCCATTTGGTTGACTGAATTTTCGGCTTATGACTGAATTTTTTTGGTCATCTGCTCAGAACTGGGGAACGTACTGAATTATGATGCACAGTGTTAAAAATGCAAATGAACAAGTTCCCCTTTAGGTCCTTTGTCTCGGCCCTGTGAGTGCAACTTCAAGGAGCATTTCCTGAATCTGCATCCATATCAACAGCAGGAAATCCAGCAATATTAAAAGAAATAAATATTGCGTACGGGAAAGATCGCAGTTAAAGTAGCAGTCTTCTGTTGACCTCGTTCCATGGGCTAGTCGTGGTTAGAAGAAATGTTACTGAAAAGTTTGAAACAGGAAATGGATCATGTTGAGCCTGTGGGGACAGTCTGCATCAACATTCACATCCCGGTGTTGTCAGTGGAGTTGCTGTTGAGGCGCTTGTTGCTGCAAGGTGTCGCACATATCAGAGGAACAATAGTCGTGAATCTACATCAGATTCAATCATAGTAACAACCTACAAACTTGTCAGCTTGTTGGTGATATCTAGACGAGTCAATAAGTAATGTAATCATTGCAAATATTGGTTTGGATTCCTGGAAGTAGGCTAGTGTGTGAACGCCGTCAGTTCAAAGTCGTGTAGCTTCCCACCATCATGCTGCTGATGTCGTCTGATAGTGACAGTCCTCCCCACGTAGTTCTGAAGAGATACACGAATGCCGGCAAGTTGGTGTGCACATAAAAACAAAGCTATTCAATGGAGCATAAACGTAGATCAGTCTGACTGCACAAATGGGTTTGTTTTTATGCAAGGATAGTGTCCAAACAAGAGCGAATAGTCCTCTGGAGTAACACAGACTTTCCTTTGAGCCACCTACAGATGTGAACACACCTCAGTGATGGCAGCTGACAACAACTAAATCAGTCAGAGGACAAGTCAGATCTCTCACAGATATGGAAAAGTTATATTTTGCAATGTCCAGTGTCAAAGTGTTTCTCTCAATAGTTTGTCAAAACTTTTTGCAAACTTTCAAGCTGAAAGTGGCAAAAACCAACACCTGAGACTTTAATGCTAGCAGCGGTGGGATGGGAGCAATTTGTGTCTCTTTAGATTCAGATGCTGGCTCCTGTCTCAGTTTCAGAACCACAGCTGAGATTAGCTGCTTCACATTTCAAGCTAATTGGTTTTAGGACGACATACTATCCAGCCGTAATATCGCTGCTCTATTGTTGTTGTTGCACAGCTGTCACTTTGGTTTTCTCTCCAACATTTGCATTATATGAAAGGATAATAGCCTTTACTGGAGGAGAGGTGCATCATAATAATACAAATTACACATTAGATGTCTTTGAAATGAGTTTGGTTTGGAAGTTAGCCAGAGAGAAAACAGATGATTGAAAATGATACAGGGCTCGGTCTGTGTTAGCTGAGGCGTATGTGGCTAACAGAAAGCTAAGGAGGAAGACATGCATAAGTAAAGCACAGCCAGGCAGGGAGAAGTGCAACGCCGCTCTCCCTCCTTCGCTCTCTGAGCCCTGAACAAGTGCTCCAATACTGTCACTCACAGCTGCCAGAAGCCCAGCCTGTGACGGTGCAGCCACGTCCACACACAGGCTGCTGCATGGACGTGCATGTGCACATTGTGCTCTGACTGTGTGCTTTTATTGAGTGCATGCTGCTGTGCGGCTGAGCAGATATGCAGGATGTCCACTTGCAGGTCGTGTCAGAACTTTGGTAGAAAGCTGCAAATGTTTTTTAAAGTGTCTCTTTATGATGATGTGACACCACCTAGCACCATACTGCTCATATGTGTGGAGCGGTGGTTCAGAGGTTCAGCCGTTGAACTACTGATCAGACCGGGGTTCAAGCCCCGGCACCACCAAGCTGCTGCTCTGGACCTGAACTCCATCTGCTGCAGTGGCACTGTGGTGTGCCGGTACTGGTTTCTAATGCGCTAGGATACGCCAAAAGAAGTGTTTAAGTTGGTTTGTTTTTTTGTCTATCAGATGACATGAAGTGTTTCTGTGTAGGGAAATAGAGTGACTATGAGTGTAACTGGGGGATTAACTGGGGTAAAATCCATTATTTGCCCCAGCAGTTACCACAGGGAAACATGTGCCCCATTTACCCCGAGTGAAACCGTGCAAAGTAAAACCTTCACCCCACACAACTGAGTGCTGCTGATGTTTGTCCATAAACCAAATGACTGATCACTTTAGAAACAAGCAGCGCTGTGCTGGTGAGGGCGGCTCGCCATCGCTCAGGCAGCTCATCCTGTGGGGAACACAAACATATGAACCAAATGTGACAACCATCAGTCCAACAGTTTCACGCTGAATACAAATGGCAACCTGTTTGTTCTGATAGATGTCAAGGTGTTCCACTGGATGAGTGAACGGAGAAGTACATCAGAGTTCATGACTGAACGTCATCTGATGGATGTCATACATGAAATCTCAACTCCTCCAGTCGTCTCAACCAGAGCTGCCACTCCAGTGGACCTTAGTGGTGGCTCAGCTGAAAGCTAAATGTCAGACGAGGCTGTTGAACACAGCGCTACTCCCCAGAGGTTGAACCTTTACTATTTTGAACATTTAATGTGGTTTCCTGTCACCTAATCTGTCCATTTTGCCCAACAACCATCTCGACGAAATGTCAACTTTACACCCAACATTGGTCAAAGGGCAGGTTGCTGTGAAATTCGTCCCATTCATGCTCCTCAGAGGATGAAACATGACCTCAGTCTCCTTTCTCTAGAGTCAACCACAACACAAGCTCAACACTTACAATAAATCAGACAACAATAAATTGTGGTTGCGTTGTGTGTTCCATGGAGAACCTTCATGTTGACGTGTGTCTGCAGCTCTGTGAATGTGAAGTCTTTATGTTTTCCATTCATGTGTGCAGGTCAAGGATGTGATGAAAGATGTGATGGCGGGCCTACAGCAGACCAACAGTGAGAAGATTCTGCTGAGTTGGGTTCGTCAGAACACACGCCAATATCCTCAGGTATGCTGGTTGACTCGATCCACAAACTGGTGATCCGCCAGTGGAGTGGGTCTCTTCCACAGCCTCAACTCTGGAGTCAGAAGGAAGCGCTGTCTGTTTCAGTGCCCATGTAAATGTGAAGCTGCCTCGGCTTCATGGAGTAGATTCATTAAGTGATGCCAGACACCTCATGTTTGCTTTAGTTGTCTGTCTGAGTGGCTATCTTAAACTGGAGTGAGCAGATTTTCATTACATGTGGTGGACAGGTAGGCCAAAGAATGATGGATTACGTTTTGATGGTGATCCATAGCTGAGATTAGTGCCGCCAGATAGTTAACTGACAACAACAAAGGCCGCCACAGACTAAAGCCGGCCGCCTCGTACAACCAGGAGGCAGGAGGCAGAAGGATGGAGGATCAAACCCACCACGCTGCCACTGTTGGGTCCTTAACCATATCTGCTCCTGTCATCATGGCTGACCCTGAACTCCAAATGCTTAAAGAGAATCTCACAGTGCTGTCATGTATTTGTGACACATAAAGTCTTTTTTCAGTACCAAAGCCTGTTAGAGGGCTATGCAGGTACTGGCTGGTCTTTCTTTCTCTAAGGCTGCTATACATGCACTTATATATATATATATATATATGTACTTATCTCATGTAGTTTGAATTGTAATTATCTTGTGAGCTTCATCAACAGTCAAAAAGCTTCACTTCTGAACTATTCCAGATTTTTAATCCACTGATCCTCAAGCTTGTTGTACTCAGTATAAGTTCCTTTGTACTTCTACAGTCGTGTCCAAAACATAAACGATGAGTGAAAGTGAGAGTCTACAAATAATAATGCCTCCAGCCATGTGCAGAAAAACTGTCAGGACGTTGTGTTGTAGCCTAGCCACCCTCATTAGGAGCTAAGCTAAAGTAGATGCTACAGCTAATACAATCTGTACGCAACAGTCATCATTTCAACAGCACTGATGATCGCTGCTGGAAAAGAGGTGCCCACTTTTGGTCTGAAATTAGCACATCGTCTAAAAATACGACAGCGCTCCGTCTGTGCTGTGCATCACATCTGAAACCCATTTTTAACCTCACTGTTCTGTCACTCCGGGTGTAAAGATCTCAGTGACAATTTGACAGGGAAAGATGTCCAATTAGCCCTGATTAAAATGGAGAAAAGTATTGTGGCAACAGCGTTTTGAACTGTGGGTATTACACTGCATTGACAGCGTGGTGCTCAGAAACCCTTTATGTGTGTCCTCAGGTCAATGTGGTTAACTTCTCCACCAGCTGGAATGATGGATTGGCCTTCAACGCCCTCATCCACAGTCACAGGTACCTCACAGTGTGTGTGTGT